GTGTGTGTGTGTGTGTGTGTGTGTGTGTGTGTGTGTGTGTGTGTGTGTGGCAGCAGTCGTGCTGGATTGATGAGAAAAGCAGGGGGGCATATTGGAATCTATTATATATGTATGTATATATATATACACACACACACTCATATATATATACGAACATATATTATGAATAAAGCAGAAAAAAATTAGCACATATCCACCATTTTGTACCATTGCAGGATTCCCAGCAAGACCGGCTCAATATGGGGTTTAAAAGCTATTACTCAACTAAAATTAATAAGAGGAAATATCTGGGTTTTTAGCTAAGTTAAATAAAGTGTCTGGAAACCCTTGGTGCCAGCGTCCCCCTTGCTCTTGCTGAATCAGGGTTCAATTCATATTGCCCACAATCCCAGTTTTCCCTCTCTCTGTTATGCCCAATTATCTTAGTGGGTCTTCCTGAATGTTCTTTTCTTGCTGGGGGGGGGGAAGGTTCCATCTCTGTAATTGCAGATGCTATTAGCCCATGGAATGCTGTTACTGCATATGGTTCAGCTACATGTTTGTTTATATTACAGAAAACCATGTTGGGGCTCATTAAAAATATTCTATAGTGTGATTGTGTGTGATATTAAATCTCAGTGCGCTCATGTGGGTATTCAGCATACATTGCTTTGAATTAAACTGTGTGGAAATAATGGAGGCTCTAGCATGTATTTGCACGTCAGGCAGTAAGGACAAATAGTGTTAAAAAAAAAAGTGAAGGCTTCAGAAAGGAAGCCTTGCTTTTAAATGCAGTGGTTATTTTTTTTTAAGTGTTTCTGAAGATGTTCTCCTTCTGAAATATGACTGAATGGCCCTGGCCTGAGATTTGAGGACACTGTGATGGAATACTTGTGAAAATGCTGAAGGGGGAAAATCCTAGAAGCCTTTTGTTGTTTTGCTTGGTTGTTGTGACCACCCTGGTTTATAGAGAGATATCAGGTATCAGGGGTTTTTTTTCCTCCCCCCCATCTGGGAAGAATGTATTTTCTTCTAAGGGCTGTTTTATCTGGGGAGGGACACTTTCTTTTTCTAAAATAAAATGAACGCAATTCATCTTTCCAAACCTAAGTCTTTCCTGGGGTTTATTGAGTTAAATTTGTAGTTAGCAGTCACAGTCTAGTTGTACTATCTCCTAAAAATAAAAGCAAGTCCTTTTAGCTAGAATCACTTTCGCATGCTTTTAAACTGTCTTGCCAACATGCTGCTATTAACACAGTAAACTACTATTTCTCCATTGAAAACCTGCCGACATGAGGATATTGGCAAGGAGGCTGCCTTGACTGTAACCACTTCCATGAAAAGCCAGAATTTTGAAAGAAAATACAAGCATGAGCCATCCCTTTGCATTGAGAAGATAATTTTATGATTGGTATACTCTTCTCGTTCTGAATTGTGGCAACAGATTTTGAAACATATCGAAATATAAATCCAACCTCATAAAGAAGCTCTTCCACAAACATTCATCATCTGTGGCTGTTTTCTAGAGATTTTTCTCTATTGCAACAAGTCAGGTATTTTCTTCATATATTGGCAGCCCAACTCTTTCCCCCTTTTCTTTCATGTGTCAAGCTCTTAGTAGTATCTGTAGCCATATTTCCCCCCCTTAACAAACCTCAAAGTCCTTCTGTTGTTTTTAAACTTATTCCTATGGAACCCTCTTTTGTTCATATTCATTTGTTAGGAAGAGATTCCTTCAGAATGATCGTAGTAAGGAGTGTTTGCTTGCTTTATAAAAGAAGTACCTAACATTATATGTTCTATATGCTACAGTGTGTTTTAAAGGATGAGGGAGGCTACTTTTTTGGCTTTCTCCTGGTGACAAGTGAGCCATATGAAGTGAAGACAAGGAATGGGATTCATATTTAATATTTGATGAATGATGATGAGGAAATAACCCATGTGGAATGGGAAGAGGTGAATAGGCTCTTTTTTATTATATTTGTGGCCTAGTAATTAAATAAAAAGCAGGTGTTAATGTAGTATGAGAGATTAAAAATTAATGGGTCTACAGTGAGAGTCAGTGTATCCCCTCTGTGCAAGGGCTTTTTTCTCTTAGAGATTCTTCATTTCTTTTCCAAATGTTAGTTCTGGGAGGAACAGATAGTGTATTTAAATAGTTTGGGACTGTTTGAAGGACTCTTTCTCCCTTTCAGGAAACCTATACGAAGTCTTCTTGTGTAAAAGTTACAGGGACTAAGAATGCAAATACATTCTTTGCCACATAAAATGAAATACAGAAGAAAACAGCTTGGAAACATGTGAAGGTTTTTCATATTTCTTTATTCTCTGTGTTTATTAATTTGTCATCACTTTTTTATATTAAATGCTACATTGTTGAGAAAAAAGTTTTTTAATGGACAGATTCAATTTTGTGGAAAAGATTGGACAGACTCTTCAGTGGTATACAAAAACAGCCCCTCCCCCCCAAAGCCTCCCTTAAAATTATACAAAATGATGGTTTCTAGAAAATGACTGAAAGAATTTCTTAAAATTGTGGCATGTTTTTGGTCATTGTATCCCCAGTGCTCAACACATAGTGGGTGTGTAAGAAATGTTCATGAGTTGATTGTTTTAGGCGATAGTAGCTCCCTAGAGACTTCGGGAAGAGTATAGTAGTAGTAATAAAGCTAGAGTGTATGATATACAAGGACTTTGTACAGAGAGTACATGATAAATGCTAATTTAATTTGATTTTTATTTGATAGTGTATCTGTGAACTTGATCCTATTTATTAAAACAAAAAATTTTGGACTAGCTACTTAAAATAGCTTTATAATGAGACCATGCTATTTAAAGCAACCTTTTCCTCTCTAACAAATAATTACTACTTTGAAAAGTGATTTATGGCAAACAGCCTTGATGTTTAGCATCGGGGTTTTTTTAATACCTTCAGGATAAGCTACCTTTAAGCTTGACAACTTAGAACAGGCATATATAAACCTGAAGGAAGCCCACAGAAGGACAGTTAGGCAGAGAATTCTGAAACTTTGAATCTCGGACATAATGTCCTAACTTGCTGATTAATCTTTCAGCTCATACTACCAGATCTTAAATGATCCAGAGTATTCACAGGCCTCCTAGCAACGGGTAAGTTCACAGGCTATGTGATGAGTTCATTGTTCATCTTGAATATTAATTTCCCAGTGGAGAAGTTAGTGTAGGGGGTAGCTTTCTTTTTGTTGCAATTGAGAACTAAAAGGGGATACATGTGACCAACTGAAAAAGACAGGGAGTTTTACCAAATGCATGTTACATCCCCAGATTATGAATAAAAGTACAAATTGCTGTTTTCTGGTGGAGGATAATTATGCTAGAGGAAAAACGAAAAAAAATCTTAAAAAATTATCAAGTATAGTGCTCCCTATAGGAATACTTGAAAGTGAATACCCAGAATTGGTATAAATTCTCATTAATCTGAATGTTTTAGATTTTCATAAATTCTTGTTAATCGGAAGATTTTAGATTGTCATGAGTATTTGTTATTTCATTTAATTTGTTGGTTTTATTGGAATATAGTTGGGTGAAATTGTTTTTAATTACATTGTTCATTTGTTGTGAATTCTTCTTTGTTGATAGTGGTCATTTAGATATTCTCCTTCCTTTGAGGTTGGAAGGAGAAAAAAAAAATGCTTGCTAACTGAAAAAATTTCATATATATATATGTGTGTGTGTATACATATATGTGAAAACAAATGTTAAGCAACTGCATTGAAATGCTCTGTATATTGTGAGTGCTATTTAATCAATTTGAAGAGTTTTTCTTGGTTCTAAAAGAGAGGTGGTGCTTAGTTTTCTTCTCCACCCCATAAAAGATACTTGCTTTAGATTTTTCTTGCTTTTTCTTGGTAATGATGATTTTTACCTCATGTATATTTCACTGACATCATTAATGCCATTAAGTTTTGAGTTATTTAATTAGGATTATAAGCTCCCTGAAGGCAGAGACTGTGCATGATTTAAACTTTGTGTTCACTTAGCAATCTTCAGCATGTAGGAGGTGCCCAGTGAAAATATTTGTTGCCTGACTGGATGACATTATTATACTTCTTGGTGGATCCAGTAAACCACGTGCATTCCAAGTTACCCATGGATTCTCCAGCATTGCAATTGTGGTACATTCTAGTTTTAGTTCCTGGAAGAACTTGAATTTTTTTATTTGTTTCTAAAGCACAAAAGTGACTTTTAGATACATGTTGTAGATTTGAAAGATTTCCTGTTTTTCAACACAAAGCACATGGTAGAATCTTCAAAAAGGCAAAATCAGTTTTGTTAGCTACTTTTAAGTGATTCTAACAGTGTGAGGGGAAAGCCGGCTTTCTACTCACCATCTTTATTAGTTTTACTAGTTGACAGTTTGTGGAAACTAATTTGTGTACATAATATATTGCACATTCAAATTCTTTAGGTTCTGTTTCATTTTAAGAGATGTGATACTTTTATGGGAGCAGACTGTATGTGGGAGTAGACGATGGGAGCTTTAGGTCTGAATCCTGGGCCAACCACAAACCAGTTTTATCACTGACAAATAACATGGCCCTTTATACTTCTATGGCTATAAAATGAGATTTTCAGTACCAACCTATAGTTTGTTCAGTAGTTTTTTTGATGTGGCTACATATGTACTGGTGAGGTCTGAAAGGATAACCGTATTCCAAATGCACATTGATGTGAAAGTATTAAAAAGTATTTTGGGATGTTGAATTCTTTTCTTCTTTAACTTTCCCTTGAATATTTGAGACTTATACTCTATAAATATGGATAATTTCCACATGCTCTGGGGTCCTATTTTCCTCAAACATGATGCTAAATGCACATATTTTGGGGTTTACATGAGTGCCAGCAACAATGAGGAAATACCAATTTGAAACCTG